TCATGGTTAGGATCCCTGAGCTCAGTCCAGGTCTCTCGTATGAGTGACTAGGGACAAAACTTATTTGAGCCATCACCTGCTTCTTCCAGGGTACTCCTTAGCAGAAAGCTGCAACTGGAAACAGAGCCAGGATTTGAACCTAGGCACTGCACTATAGGAAACAGGCTTTCCATTTAGCACCCTAACCATTGTGCCAAGTTCTTAAAACCTAGGAAATAGCCATTTCTAGTATTTAACCATTCTAGTAGGTATAATGTAGTAGTTCACTGTTAGGTTGAACAACTTTTCATATGTATCTTGAGTAAATACTTTTCTGTTTTAGTTAAATGTCAGTTGGACATTTTTGCTACTTGATTGTTTTTCATATTTTTTGTAATTCTTACAAAAAAATCTTTGTTTGTTTCTTTATTTGTTTATTTGAAAGACTGAGAAAAGAAGAGAAAGAGAAGAACAGTCTCCTATTAGTTTACTCTGGAGATATCCACAATACCCAGTGCTGGCCAGACACTCCATGTCGACCTCCTATGTAGGTGGCAGGAACTCAAGCACACATGCACACACACACACACATGCATGGACAGCTGTGATGAAATTTTGATCAAATTATGTTGAATTTATGGAGAAATGGATATCTTTACTGCATTGAGTCTTCTTTATAAATATGGGATCCTAAAATTTACTTGGGACATCTTAATGTCATTAAGATAAGGTTTTATGTTATTACAAATCACGCACATCCTTTGATATATTTATTTATAAGTACTATATGGTTTTAGTTGCTGTAAAAGTGTTGCCTTTAAAAATTTTTATTTCCTAGGGTTTTTACTCAGATGTAGAAGTACAATGATTTTTAAAATATTATTCAATTATCTAGACCCTTTTACTATTGTTAATAGTTTGTGGGACAGTCAGCATTCCGTATGTATGCTGGTGCATGCTTTGGCTGCTCCACTTCCCATCCAACTCCCTGCTTATGGCCTAAGAAAACAGTTAAGGATGGCCCAAAGCCTTGGGACCCTGTACAAATGTGGGAAACCCGGAAGAGGCTTCTGACTCCTGGCTAGCCATTGCAGCCACTTGGGGAGTGAACCAGCAAATGGAAAATCTTTCTGTCTCTTTCACTCTGTAAATCTGAGTTTCCAATAAAATTCAGTAAATCTTAAAAAGTACATTTTTATATAACTTTTTATATCTTCTAATTATTGGGTGGAAACTCGTGTATATGCCCACTAGATTGCCCTTGTTAGTCGTGCCTTTTGAGTAGTCTATGTTTTCTGCTTTTGTTTGCTTGATATGTCTATAATTAGGGAAATCATGCAAGCATTCGTCTCTTTCCTTTCTGAAGTTATATCAAAGGAGTGTGTGTGTGTGTGTGTGTGTGTGTGTGTGTGAGAGAGAGAGAGAGAGAGAGAGAGACAGAGAGAGGCAGACAGACAGACAAGTTTAGGAATATTGCCTCTCCCTAAATTAAGTCTTGTCTTATTACCTAGTGATCACCTCTGGTCCCAGTAATGCCTTTGGTCTATAAACTTTTCAGTCCAATGTTACTGTACTTAACCCAGCTTTCTTTTAGTGGTTTGCCAGATTTATTCTCAAATATTCTTTTGCTTTCTTTTTTTATATTCTTACATTTTCTTGCCAACAACATAGCAATAGATTTTATTCTTGAACTCAGTATGGAAATGCTGACTTTTAGCTGGAGATTTTTTTTTTTTTTTGGTTCAATTCCTCAGGTCCAAGTTTAGAGGTTTTTGCTTCATAATGAAATTTGCTTCTGCTGGAAGTAGAAGGTTGTTGATGTTTGTAGGGTGTCTGGCTTAGCTTCCTTGAGCTGCGGTAGCCCAAGTTGGGCATCTGTTTCCAGGCACCTGGGACCTTACCTTCACTCTCTAGCCATGGGGATGCATCCATTTGGAGCAGGGTTGAAGGTTTCTATCGCTGTGCCTGGTGAAGGCAGCAATGCTTCATGTTTCTTTTGCAGCCTATGGTAGTTCCGGGAGGGCAGGGTCCCTCATAATATCAGCTGCAGTATTCTATAGTTTCCTTTTTTCATAGTGCTTATTAGCATGCAGGACACTGCATACTAATTTATTTCTTGTCTTTCTCTTCCCATCAGAATGTGAGCTCCTTGAAGATAAGGTTTTTCCTGTGTTTTTTTTTTTTTTTCTCCCTTCTGTGTCTCTGGTATCTAAACTACAGCCGCTCTGTGCATATGTTCCTCAGTAGTTGTAGCAGGAATAAAGGAGGAGAGTGTGGTGCATGGAAGTGGTGCCGATTATAGGACTTTGATAAATGCTGTGAGGTTCTTCCATGATTCCTGCCATAGGTTAGTGTGCCCTGGCTTTTCTCTTGACCATGGGTAGCCCAGTTTGTTCTGGTCTCTCTGCCTCCACTTTGGGGTTCTTCCATCCATTCTGGTTTAAACCTCACATTGCTATCTGGTGTTCTTCCAAAATACAGCTGTGATGACCTCATTGTCCTGTCTGGTTTTGCCTGTAGAATGAATGTGCCTATAAAATGAATTCTGGTTTCTTCACTGTCACATTTTATTCCCGACATAGTTTTCTGGTTTTGTGTGCATTGGACATTTTATGCTGTAGTTACATCAAGATATTTACAGGCTCTCATCATGCCAGATGTGTGTTTCTGTTTGAATGTGCGTTGTGTTCCAGGAGCCTGCACATTCCTTTTTTGTTTATTTCTATCTATCAAAATCCCGGTCATTCTTATTTAAGACTGTCAGTGTTTACTTACGGGAACCAGTCATTCCTAGCATCCGTTCCTCCCTTTCTCCCCCACTTTGGTACTGTTCACAGTCTGCTTGTGTTCTAAAAGGCTATTCATCTTTTCTGGCTAGATTCAAGCTCCCTGAAGTCAGAGTCTTCATGTTTTGTTTTTCTTCATTTCTTGACAGTGTGCAGTATGACATTTTATACATAATAGATCTTTGATAAGTTCTCATCAGATTTGAATTTTGAAAGTTCACTTTTTCTGTGATGCTGTTGTTCTGATATTTTGCTGTGGTGAACTAATGCTATCTGCTGTTTTCAGTCATCATACTCTTGTGAAAGCAGTTTTCAAGTCCATAACTTCTATTCCCGCTTCCCTGGCTAGTGTGACATAGGTACCTCACATTCCTCAAACTCAGGATGTCATTTCCCGTCCGGTCTTGCTCCTCTTACGAAACAGGTACCTCTCCCTATCTCTTCTGTTTCCGAGGAATGATTCCTCATTCTTCTGGTCACATGTACTCCAAACCTTGGCGAAATTTGAGTCACTCTTTGTCTTTTGGCTTCCACCAGCCAGACTCCTGTACATTTTTGTCTTCTAAATGGTTTCGCAACTCCCTACTACCCTCTCCGTGTCAGCTGCAGGGCCCTCCTACCCTCACACACAGTTCCACCTCCCTTTCCTGTTCTCTTACCGTCTGTAGTCTTGGGGCCATGTCACTTCCCTGGGGCTGAAGGAGCCAGAGTCTGGGATCATTCTCCCATGCCAACCATGAGTCCTCTCATTTCTGTCAAGCCACATTTTTGGCTGTCCCCAAGCTTACCTGTTCTAGCCCTTTCCACTCTGAACTGCTACTTCCTTGTCCATGTTTCAGGATTGGGCTAATGGATGCTCTCCTGACCCCCCAGTCCCAGTGAACATTTCCCTTAGCAAATCTCTACGTAGTCACTTCATCCTTTGAACTACTTTCTTAGTAGTTCATTGAACTGTTTTCATTGCACCTTTGAAAAGATTAGGACAGGGCGCAGTGTGGTAACCTAGCAGCTAAACTTCTCACTTTGCACGTACCGGGATCCCATATAAGCACCAGTTCATGTCCCAGCAGCCCTGCTTCCCATCCAGCTCCCTGATTGTGGCCTGGAAAAGCAGTAAAGAACAGCCCAAAGCCTTGGAACCCTGCACCCACATGGGAGACCTGGAAGAAGCTCCTGGCTCCTGGCTCCTAGCTTTGGATGGCTCAACTCCAGCTGCTGTGGCCACTTGGGGAATGAATCAGTGGACAGAAGATCTTCCTCTCTGTCTCTCCCTCTCTCTGTATATCTGCCTTTCCAATAAAAAATAAATAAATCTTTATAAAAATAAAATAAAAAAAGATCAGGACATTGGAAGTGATCTCTAGCTTAAGACCTTGGTACAAAGCCTGTGGTTATTGTTTCTACTGATAATAGGTGAGCACCTGGAGGCTAGGGACTTGGTTTCATATGCTTTCATTTTTTTCTCTTGATGCTAGATGTGGCCTCCCAATAGGCCCTAAAAGACACTAAAAATAGTCATTGATTAATTGAATCTAGTAAGTTAAAAATGTAAATTTTCTCTCCAAAGAACTTGCAAAGGAAGCTTACTGTCCCCACCTGCAAGCCTGTCTCCCCGGTTTCTGTTGCTCTGTCTTTGTAGTTGAGGATCCCTTTGCAGCCACATTTTTTCTTTGTGTGTCTCTGTGTTAGTCTTGGTTTTGATTTTCCTACATTTTAAAGTTGGATTCAGAATTCTTCACCTTTGCATGTGCCATAGCTGACTATAAATTTTCATAGAGTCTGTTGAATGTTAATTGTGTTTTCCTTCAGCAGTTTAAAGGTTTTTAGCAAGAACTATTCCATCTGATTTACTTAAGTGAAGTTGTAGGTTGAAATTTCATATAAAAAATTTTTAACTGCATAAACTCTGCTGTGGCCAGTTAGCAGTTAATTATTTGTGAAGATTTAAAATTATTATTAGTTTGTTTTCTACTTGATAAATAGAAATGATAGCTTCAATTACTTTGCAATTATTTGTTATGTTATCTTGAAAGTGAGGTATGCTTTAATAGCAAGGATGTTTTTTATAAATTAGTATTAACTTAATGTTTTATGCTTTTTGTAGGGATGCTTCATATTTGGTTATAGTTTTGACGAAAATATATAAATGGTCATTTTGTATAAGAAGTTGCTCCTTTTTAGAGCATATCAAAAGAATAAAACACAGTAATTTGAGTGCTCTATTTTTATTTCTAGAAACCAGCAAATATCCTAGTAATGGGAGAAGGTCCTGAGAGGGGGAGAGTCAAAATAGGTAGGTAATTATTCCTGAAATAATTAACTAAGAAACTAAAGTGATGGCAAACATGGGTTGCTTTTGTAGTATTTCATGCCTAACTAGTATGTAACTACTTCCTCATAGCAGTTTTGGAAGAAACGTCGAAACTGTAGATAGCTAGGGTATACACTGCATAGGGTTTCTTCCATGGTTAAGATCTTGGGAGAGCTGGCAGCAGATCAGCTGATCTGATTAACAGATCAGCAAGCTCAGGGAAAAACAAACAAACACAACAACAACACAAACAGCTATTTTCACACATGAGTTTGGATTGCTAGCACTGTCTTGCACCATCACCCTGAGCATAATCCCCAAATCTTAATTTTTATTTCTGTCTTGCCATATTTTTTTTTCTCTCCCTGAACATACTCCCACCCTTACCTGCTGCATACATACCCTTGCCGGTCCCCCCCACCCCACCCATCTTCCACTGTGCGGTTCCTGTGCCAGGCACTCGCAGATCCACCCTAGATAAATGTATGTGCGTGCAGCCTCTCTTACTTGCTCTGGCAGGAATCTCGTCTGTGTCCTCACATTCCTTTGGAACCTCGAAGGCTCGCTAAGAATGCAGCAACCTTTATGCTTGGGACATATCTGGAACAAAAAGGAACTAAGAATGCTGTATTCTGGTTTTTTTTTTAAACCAAAAATTGCATTTAATGCATGGTCAGTGCTTTTTAGAAGGGGTTTACACGCATCATGCTTCACGGCCTGCTTTCTCTGCATTTTGAAATAGACCTTGCTGGAGGTGCTGCAACATTCTGCTAAGCCAGCCTTCCGTGAATTCACGCTGCCCTTTTGCATCTGCTTGGTTTTCTGTTTTCTCTGATTCGTTCCACTAACCCAGCTCCTGAGGCAGCTGCTCTGAACTAACTTCCCTTTCTTAAAACTTGCACTCGGAGTTGGCTGAGATTCAGATTCACTCGCAGATTTATTGATGTTAATGAAGTCTGAGTAACTGCGCTCCTCTCTTCCCTCCCCAGCCCTTTCCGCCACGCCTTGCTGTCTCTTTTGCTGTTTTAATTCTCTGTTTTAGACATGAGCTGAGTCCCCAGTTTTTGCCAGACACAGGTGGGAAGGAGGGTAAAGGATGGTCGCTCCCGGTGAGAGACAGTGGACTGTAGAGTGAGAGATGTTTTACACAACCACCCTCAAAAGGGAGCTGTCTCAGATAAGCAGAGCCGGGTGTGGAGCGGCTGTAGTTTGCTCAGCCTTTCAGAGGTGGTGCTTGCATTCTCAGTCCTCAGACTCCTGCCCTCCTGTTTCATCAACGTAGCTGGACCTGTGCAACAGCCTCTGGGGAAGAAGGATCCTCCTTCCTGTCCTATATCCAGTCTGCTAGAGCCGGTTCCCACCCCCATCACACTTCAGCTCAGTGTGTTACAGAATCGCTGTTTTCCCTTGCATCTTTAAATGTTGACAGCCTTCTGCAGTTTTAAAATAACCCCTACACCCATCTGTCCTTAGCATTTGCTCTGCTTTTCCCTTTCTTGTTTCTCTACCTCTGAAATACAAGATATTCACCCTTTGGTTCCACTTAGCCAAATTTGTTCTGTAATCTGGCCTCAAATTCCATCACTCTATTAAAACTCTTCCCTAAACGGCCACTGGTGACCTGTGACCTGTGACCTAGGGGCCTGTATTAGGCACTGGTCACCTTAACCATTTGTTCTGGCCCTGAGGCAGTCTCCTCCCCTTTTCTATATGGTGTCATGCAATTTTGACTTTCCACCCTCCACTGAGGCAGCTTGTGTTTTGTTCACTTCTGCCTCTTACTCCATTGCTTCAGGAAAGCCTAAGCACTGGGCTGGGCCTCCTTCTGCAGTTAGTATAGAGGATGGATAAGTTGTAGCCTCAAAATCTTGTATCCTCTTAAGGAATGAGTCTAAAATCTGGACATCAGGTGCCATTCTGTTACCCAAGCTGAAGCGTTTGTTTGTTTGCCTAACCTGCTGGCAGCCTCTACCCACTTGTCTCCAGGCTAATTCACTGTCCTCTTCTTGTTTGCACTGTTGCTCCTGTTACCTCTGTCCCAGCCACCCATGTCTAATGTCCTCTCCTAACTCTGTCACCACAGAGGAATCTGCACACCGACTGGACCAGGTAGTTACATCCCGGTTAGGAGTTTTAGAATGGTATTTCTGCCCCCAGATTAGGGATCAAGCCAAGATAGCGAAAGTAAGTAATGGGAAACAGTTAAAGTCTAGAGAACAGCCAGTTGGTTTCGTTCTTTTAGATTTTGGTTTTGGTGTTGCACTGCTTTTTGAAAGTTAGTAGTCTGTGCTTACCAGTTTAATACAGTTTTGTTTGGGTTTGGAAGAAAAGCGTAGCTGAATGGGAAACCATGAGCCTTTCCCTTCCCAGGCCTTTCGTAAAATGCTTGATTTGTTCAGAATGATTTACCCTTTAAGCTCCAGGCTTCAACTTTCAGATTAGTTCACTTTTGTAACTGTATAGCAGACATCATCCCAGATCACACCGGACATGCAGGTGTTCCCCACAAGGGCCTGGGCACACCACGAGCAGCCTGGTGGACTCTCACACAGCTTCCCCTTTGTTCCTTTTGTCTGCTCTGTACATCTTGTGTGTGCATCCTGGTGGTGTGGTTGCCTTTCTGTCACTTGTTTCTGCCATTATACCAGGATTCCCCTACTTACCACCAGTTTCACCCATATCTAATGTTATGAAAGCAAAGTGGTCAGAATACTTAGGTTAGTTACCTTTTCTCTACGTTAATAATTATTTGAGTTGGGGGAATCCCAAAGCCTATGAAACTGTGTCATAAAACGAAATAAAAAATAGTTATTGGAGGCTCTTTAAAGTTATGCAATACACAGAAACTGTTTTTAAAGAATATTCGTTGTTTCTTTCTGGCCTTTACTCCATCTGATGTTGAAAAGATGAGGGTTAGGGCTCGGCGCGATAGCCTAGTGGCTGAAATCCTCACCTTGCATGTTGCAGGATCCCATTTGGGCAACAGTTCATGTCCTGGCCACCCCACTTCCCATCCAACTCCCTGCTTATGACCTGAGAAAGCAGCCAAGGATGGCCCAGAGCTTTGGGACCCTGCACCTGCATGGGAGACCTGGAAGAAGCTTCAGGCTCCTGGCTTTGGATTGGCTCAGCTCTGGCTGCTGTGGCCACCTGAGGAGTGAATCAGTGGATGGAAGATCTTCCTTTCTGTCTCTCCTTCTCTGTATATCTGCCTTTTCAATAAAAATTTAAAACAAAAAAAGGTGAAAGTTAGCTAAAACTAAAGAGGTAGGGAATAGGGGAGAACTACTGGCATTAGCCTTTCCTGCAAAGTGGTTTGCAGTGGCTAGGACGACACCCCATTGTATATTGCCCTCCACAGTCAGTATCTGACTCTTCACTTAAATTCAACATACCTGGTCATTTGTATTTTATTCATACTTTGCAATCAACACCTAATAAATGTACAAAATAATATTTTAAATATCATGTAACATTATAGAACAGTAGGTAGATATGCTATTATAAGGTGATTTTGAATAATTTTATTTGTCATGGGAAGGTTTAGTTTAAAAAAGTAGGCATCAGCACACAGACGTCTTTGGATAGCTTTGATTTTTTTCAGACTGAGATACTCCAAAACATTTTCAGAAAGTCTTGTACATTACTTAAACCAAATCATTATAAACCAAAAATTTTACTTTATGTAAATAATAGCATATTAGTTTCAGATTAAGTGAAAACTTAGGAGTGCTTTTGCATTTTATAGTGCTTTGGGGCCCCTTTATACAATCAGTACCTACTGTGTATTTTATATATTTCAAATTATAGAGGTTTATCATTCTTATGACTTTATGACTTATAATTAATCATATGCTTAATTCATTGGATGTCAGATCAATGATTAAGAATGTAGCTTACTGCAGTGCTGGCTTCCCATTTGGGTGCCAGTTTGAGCTCCAGCTGCTTCACTTCTGATGTAGGTTCCTGCCAGTGGAAAGCAGCAGAGGCTGGCTCAAATCCTTGGGTCCCTGCACCTGTGTGGGAGACTTGGAAGAAGTTCCTCGTCACCCAGCTTTGGAAGTTCAGCCCTGGCTATTGCAGCCATCTGGGAAGTGAAACAGCAGACAGAAGATATTTCTCTGTCTCTCCTCTCTTCCTCTCTGTAACTCTACCTTTCCGATAAAAATTTTAAAACTCTTTAAAAAGAAGAACATAGCTCCTAAATTGTAACCCAACTTTGGTTTGGTTACTGGCATCTGTACTTCCTGTCCCTGTGAGCACAAGTCATCATTAACCGCTTTGGTGTTTATTTGGTTATCCTGGGGTTAAGACTCTTCATCTCAAAAGAGGGAGCAAAATATTTACATATATTTTTTAAAAGATTTATTGATTTTAAAGGTAGAGTGATATATACACACAGATACCAGAATTTGTGTGTTTTTCCATACTCTTGTTCACTCCCCAAATGGCCACCACAATTGTGGTAAGGCCAAGCTGCAGCCAGGAGCCAAGACTTCCATCTGGCTCTCCCACGTGGACTTGAGCCATCTTCTGCTACTTTCCAGGCTCTTCAGCAGTGAACTGGAGGAGAGGCAGCGTAGGCAGGACTCACACCAACACTGCTGTGTGGGATGCAGAAAACCAGAGCAGCAGCTTATCAGATGAGGATCAAATGCAGTGATACATGATTTATGTGAGTGGCATTTGTAAACTGTAACATGTTTTATAGATACAAGGTAGTTTGTAAAATATCAAGAAAATTAATGTCTAAGACCATACTATAGTGATAGATATTCTTTTGACTGTTTTTGTGTAGCCTTAACATTTAAATAGGTTAGTGTTGGTTTAGACCTTGGTTAAGTGCTGGATTATAACAAATTATCTTTTATGCGCCCTTGCGTTCTTATAAACATGTATCTGGTTATTATTCATTCAATAACTGCCTGTCTTTGGGAGGGAAAAGGCCTCATTCCATGATGTTGGCGCTCCCATCTTAGCCAAGGTCAGTCACTGATCTCATGTCACTTTGTATACAAATACTTCATCATTTGTAGGAACTGTAAGGTGGAGTCAAGGTTCAGGTGCATAGGCATACAGAAGTCATAATTAATGGAGAAAGACTTTTGGACCAGGTTAGATTTTATAAACATTTAAAAATGTAATTCCAAGTGTCTAAGACCCAAGAAATCTGAAGTCAGAACTGGGTTCTAATTCTCATTCTCTCCTTACTACCTCTTTGATCTTAGATAAGTCAGGATTTCTTTAAGCCTCAATTTCTTCATCAGCACAGCAGGAAAACCAGGAACATACATTCACTACAGCAGTTAAGACAACGTTCTCATCCCATGTTAGAGTGTCTGGGCACAAGAAACCTGTTTGCTGATTCTAGCATCCTGCTAATGCGTACCTTAGGAAGCAGCAGATCAAACCCCAAGTACTTGAGTCCCTACCACCCACATGGAAAACCTGGATCAGCATCCTGGCCCTTGGCTTCGGCCCAGCTCAGACCTGGCTGCTGCAGGCATTGGGGCGTAGATAAGATGCATCTTTGTCTTTCTCTTTTCCTGAGTGTGTGCATGTGTCTGCCTTTCCAATAAATAAAAATATATGAGGAAGACCATTTAAAAGTTCAAAATAAAATGGGCACAACAGTAGTATCTACCACAGATTAGGGATACTAAAAGTGAATGAGGTAATTTAGATCCAGTGCCTAGTGTGGAGCTCTGGTTAGCAGAAAAAGGACTGTGTTATAAGGTCAGTGACCATTGTCCACCTTGCATGGGACCAGTTGCATGTCAAACCGAGTTTCATATTCATGTATTATATTTTTCAGCTGATATGGGTTTTGCAAGATTATTCAATTCTCCACTGAAGCCGCTAGCAGATTTGGACCCCGTGGTTGTGACATTTTGGTATCGCGCTCCAGAGCTTTTGCTTGGTGCAAGGCATTACACAAAAGCCATTGGTAAGTTCATCTGAATTGATGTACTCTCTTGGCATTGAAGGGTCATAAATAGCATGTGGTACAATAATGAAGCTCCTTGGAAAGAAAAAAAAGTATTTTTCCTTGCACAGAATAGAGGCATTTGATCCTGTTAAATTGCTGTGGAAACAATAACATTCAAATCCCTTTCTTTTGTTTATCTACAGATTGATTAGAAAAGTTGGAGAGAGATTTAGAGTTTTCTCTCATTAAAAAGAAAAAGCAGAAAAATAAGAGTAGTGTTGGGCCCACCACAGTAGCCTAGTGGTTAAGGCCTTCATCTTACATGTGCTGGGATCCCACATGAGCACTGGTTCATGTTCCGGCTGCTCCACTTCCCATCCAGCTCCCTGCTTGTGATCTGGGAGAGCAATAGAGGATGGCTCAAGGCCTTGGGGGATATTGCACCCGTATGGGAGACCTGGAAAAAGTCTCTGGCTCCTGGCTTTGGACCAGTTAAGCTCTGGTCATTGCAGCCACTTGGGGAGTGAATCAGCAGATGGAAGATCTTGCTCTCTGTCTCTCCTTCTCTCTATATATCTGCCTTTCCAGTACAAACAAACAAATAAATAAGAGAGAGAGAGAGTAGTATGGTATTGGAGAACACGCTTTTCCGTTTGGGAAAAGGTTAGTCACATCCTTACCCAAGCAAGAAACAAAGAAGCAGTAGGACTGATCTTTCACGTCATCGCAGCTGTCAGAGGAGCAGTCTTTCCATCAGGGTAGGAAGCAGACAGAGTCTGGGTAACTCAGCTGTGCTCAGCATGCCACCATCTTTCTGGTGAAGGGACTGGGTCAGCCTGTCGTAGGCACCTTGGATGGAAAGTCAGCTGCAGAACAGGTCTGCGGTTCTACTATAGGCAAGGGAGTCCATGTGAGACACTGTGCCAGCCTCGGGCTTCTCTAAAGGGAACAGAAAGAAGCGAGGGACAAGTATGTGCTAGTCAGCAGAAATGGGGCTAGTTCTCTAAGGTGCATGAGTTTCCCAAACATATTTCTTTCATTTTTCTTTGTGTTGAATATTTTATTTACTGTTTCTCGGCAAATAATAATTTTTACTGCCTTTTGCCACCTTTGTTGGTTATATTTAGTAAAAACTCCGACAGTGTAAAGTTAAAACTAAAAAGAGACAAGCACAGAGCTGGTATTGTGGTGCAGTGGGTGAAGCTGCTCTTTGGGAGGCACTATTGGTTTCAGTCCCAACTACTCTGTTTCTCAACCAGCTTCCTACTACTGGATCCTGGGAGACCACATCAGATGATGACCCAAGCGCGCCTTCGAGCCGGTTCTCCCAAGGCTATTTCAGGCATTTAGAAAGTGAACTAGCTGTTGGAAGATATATCTGGATCTCTTTTTCTTTTTCTAAAAGATTTTATTTATTTTCATTACAAAGTCAGATAAAAAGAGAGGAGGAGAGACAGAGAGGAAGATCTTCCGTCCGATGATTTACTGCCCAAGTGACTTCAGTGGCTGGTGCTGCTTGGCTCCAAAGCCAGGAGCCAGGAACCTCCTCTGGGTCTCCCATGCAGGTGCAGGGTCCTAAGACTTTGGGCTGTCCTTGACTGTCGCGCCCACGTGTCTTACCGCCCAGCAATAAGACGCAGACGCGAGTGAAGCCTTCTGCGGTAAAATTTATTGTGCACAGCAACATGAGGAGGAAAGAGGCGCTCCGACCCCGGCAGGCTTTCTGCTCTTATGTGCTGTCTGGCCCCGCCTCCGCCGATGATAGGTCGGAGTCATGATTACGCAGGGTTCTGGGCGACTGGATTCGTCAGTCCCAGTGTTTACGTGCCTGCCGCGCCGCAGCTCACTGCGCATGCGCATGCGCAGTACTGCGAAAGCTACGTGACTCTCCACCAAACACCAAGATGTGGCTTCTCTGGCCGGCGCCATTTTGGGTACGGCATGTGGCCAGTGCATACAGATACGGCTGGCAACACTTGACTGCTTTCCCAGGCCACAAGCAGGGAGCTGGATGGGAAGTGGAGCTGCCTGAACTAGGCAGCACCCATATGGGATCCTGGCATGTTCAAGGCAAGGATTTTAGCTGCTAGGCCACAGTGCCGGGCCCTGGATCTCTTTCTTTCTTTCTCTCTTGAATGAACTTAGGAAAAATGAGATGGTATCCATAGAACCACAATGGAATCACATTTGGAAAGATGAGCAGTCTTTTCTTGGATTGAAAAAGGAAACAAAAAAATAGAATAAAGCCCTCAGGCATGAGGAGATCTGATTTCTCTGGAACTTTTGTGTTTTTCCCAGGGTCTGAGTTTCCAGCACAGTGCTACATTGTTGTAAATATTTCATTAACGCTGCTGAATGGCTTTGTTAGATGGGTGAAAAAGCACTGGTGGTCTCCAGACTGTGTGAAAAACCAGTATGTGTTGGGCGGTTGAGGAATGTGCCAGTGACATCAGACCTTCATTGAGGCAGTTGAACCCCTAGCAATGGAGCAGTGTGACCAGGGACAGCTCCCAGTGAAGGGTGCAAAAGGGAGGCACCTAAGAGAGGAACTCTTATCAGCCTGCCCATGTGGACACCCCAACAAGTGAACTTATGGTGGAGTGGGGTGTTATTGAGACTTTTAGAATTGTCATTTGGCTTCTTCTGTTTACTTGGGCATCCTGACTCGGAACTGTGACCAGTCATCTGTGAGGTGGTCTAAGAAAGCAGCAAAGGCTTAGGGTGTTGTTGGAATGCTGATGGGGAGCGAACAGGTTAGGAAGTGGGGGACTCAAGGCATGAGGACAAGGAGGAGAAGCTGCATCACAGTGGGATCCATATGATGGGGAGTGGGCATCTAGTGCCAAAGTTCACAAGGCTGCCTCCCCTCTTAAGGGACTTGGGTTCCATTCCTACCTCTGGCTCCTGACTCCAGCATTCCTGTTAATCCAGACCCTGAGAGGCGACAGTGACGGCTCAAGTAATTGGGTTCCCACATGCTCCTGCACCCACATGGGGACCTGAGCTGTGTTCCTAGTTGCCAGCTTTAGCCAAGACTAGCCCCAGCTGTTGTGGGCATTTGGGGAATGAACCAGAAGATTCAATATGTTTGTTTGTTGTCTCTCTTTCTGTTTCTCAAATAGTGACTTGTGAAAAGTTAAAGTAAAACTAAATTAAGAAAAAATAAATCTATATACCATGGAATGTCACTGGCCACTAGCCTGTGACCAGGAGGGCTGTTTCCATGAAGAAAAGGCATATTTGGCCCAACCTTTATGCTAAATGGAATGACTGTCCCCAAAGTCTGTCTGACCCTCCAAGGCCCTTTTCTAACATATACTCTGTAACTGTTTCTGTTGTGTGAACACTTTAATGAATATTTTTGATCAATTTCTCTGCTGCTAAATGAAGATGGATGGGATTTTTTTTGAAGTAATGCTGATTAGGCATGGATTTAAAAGCCAACCATGTCTCATTTCCTTTGGGGAAGGAGCACTGCATTTGAATTTTACCCAACTTGCAACTAACCTGCTCACCAAATGAGAGTTACCATGTTATACTTTAAAAGCATACTCACCAATTTTTTATTTTAATCAAGCCTCAATTATCCACTCTGAGTAGGAGCTAGACGACAAGTTAAGAGAGAGAAAAACATTAATCCCTAAATCAGTGATCTTTGAACTTGAAATAGAATCACTGCAGTCATATAGAAGATGATACATATTCACTTAAAGAGATATTTATTTGGTTGAAAGGGTGAGTTAGATGGGAAGAAATCTTCTATCTGCCAGTTTACTTCCCAAGTGGCCACAATGGATAGTGGTGAGCTGATTAAAGCTGGGAGCCAGGAGCTTCTTCCCAGTCTCCCACATGGGTGCAGGGACCCAAAGGCTCGAAACATTCTCTGCTGCTTTCCAAGGCCATTAACAGGGAGCTGGATTGGAAGTAGAGCAGAAATGTGTATAAAAATTTGTTTCTCTTCCTTTGTAGACATCTGGGCAATAGGCTGCATATTTGCGGAATTGTTGACTTCAGAGCCCATTTTTCACTGTCGCCAGGAAGATATAAAAACAAGCAATCCCTTTCATCATGATCAGCTGGATCGAATATTCAGTGTCATGGGGTTTCCAGCAGGTAACTTACTTTTCAAAATCCCATTTCGGGTCCTATTTTGAAAACATTTTAAGTGCATTTTAAAACTAAAACAACTAGTTTTCTATAACAATATTCAATATCTTTTTGGGAAGATAAAGACTGGGAAGATATTAGGAAGATGCCAGAATACCCTACACTTCAAAAGGACTTTAGAAGAACAACGTAAGTAATTCTATATTGTCTGAATCTCTATGTGCTACTGTAGAAATTTCGCTAGGGTAATTCAGAAACATCTAAACATTCTTCTCACAGTTCCAGAGGCTGGGAAACCCCAGATCAAAGCACCAACAGATTCAGTGTGTGGTGAGGGCTGCTGTCTGCTTCCGAGTTGCCACCTTCTTCTCACACAGAACAGATAGACAGGCAAAGGGGTGGACGTTGTATGCAGGCTGGAGGGCGGAGCCCCTGTGACTTGATTGTCTCCTAGTATGGTTACATTGGTGGTTAAGTTTCACACTGGTTTTTGGAAGGGATACAAACCAACCATGGCAGGTATGAGTTTTAGGCAGTAATTTCCCTGGGAACATTTCAATCTTTTTACAGATGAAATGTAGAGGTGGACATTTGAAGAACACTGGTTATCATTCACATCCAAGTATCTGTTCAGTGGCTGTCCCTGGCTTCTGACTGCAGCTTTCTGCAGAGAGACAATGGGCAGTGGCTCAAGTAGGTGGATCCCTGCCACCCACACGGGAGACTTGGACAGATCTTTGGCCTTGCCAAGCCTTGAGTGTCATGGACATCTGTGGAAAGAACCATTAACAAGCAGGATCTCAAGCAAATAAAATTTTTAAAAGAAGATATAGATGTCTTTTAAACCAGAAACTTAGTGTTAGTTATGCCTGTGATTTCAAGATGCCAGGTGGTTAATACAATTGCCAGGTTCAGGTTGTAGTAGTTAACAAGTTTTGAGAATTTGAGAGTCATTCCAGTGCCTATTTTGCTTTTAGCCTGATAACAACCTCAGTTTAAGGCCACATCTTTTGTGTCTTTGAGTAAAAGATGAAGTGGTGGTGACCTGGGAAACCAGAAAGTGGAGCACATGACTTGGGAGAGAGATAAGAGGGAAGGTGGTAGCTCCGGTGCAAGAGGGGCGTCTCCTGCACAGACTTGCCAGGGAAGTGTCAGGACAGGATGGATCATGTGAACACACACAGACTAGTATTACAAAGTCAAGACTGGCAACAATCCCCTGCTGTCCCCGCACTGTCACTGTCCCTGGTAGGGAACTTTGCCCCTGTCCACCTTTGAAAACAGCACTGATTGATCTTCCATCTACTAGATTCCCTTTCCAAATGCCTGCAATAGCCCTGTCACAGGGCTGGGCCAGGCTGATCTCAGTCCAAGTTTCCCATGTAGGTGGCAGGAACCCATGTACTGTATGCATCTCCTGCTGCCTCCCAGGGTGCTCATTAACAGAAACTGGATTGGAAGCTGCATGGAGACTGAAGCCAGGCTTCCCAGCTGGTGGCCTAACCACTGTGCCAGGCACTCACCGTGTGCACAGGGACTTCGGAAGCCGTGAGCTTTCTTTGCCCTCTGCATTTTTACAACTGCTGCTCCTGCAGCAGGACCAGCCTTCCCTTTTTTTTTCTACTCACTCTCTAGCTCTTATCTCCCCTCAACCTTCTAGATTTGAGGTATATACACCCCTTACTCCACCATCATGTGTGATGCTCATTAATTACTTATCTCAGATACTGAAGGAAAATGGTTCAGTCAACAGGAAACATTGTAATAATATTTTAAAAAGTGAATGAAGACACTTGACATTTAACTTAATATTTAGAGACCAAATGAGAGCTTTTACGTGCAAAACAATGGTGTTTGCAGTAACCAAAATAAAATGCAATTTAGTTAGGAAGGTAGTAAGAAAAGTCCAAAGGTAAAAGGCCATCCTTCTTAAGCAAACACAGGTCTACCCACACAGAAGCAAGCTGCTAAGACATAGACCACAGAGGGTTCACTGAAAGTTAGCTAAATCTGCCATAGTACCTAAGACCAGTCAAGTACAATATGTGAAGAAAAATATTCCAACAGGTGTTTTTCAAATGACAAAAAGGGGAATTGTTTTTATCAAACTTGTTTTGATTAAAGAAAAACAAACAAACAAAAAGCATGTTCTTCAAAATGCCTTTCCCTATCAGGCTCCTTGTCCCTCTGCCTGCGGCAGTGAAGGGGGAGGGGTTGTGGTGCCATAGATCAAGCCCCACTGCCTTGAATACTGTCATCTTCTGTGGATGCCAGTTCATGTTGTGGCTGTTCTACTTCTGATCCAGCTCCCTCCTAATACACTTGGGGAAAGCAACAGAACATGGCCCAAATAGTAGACCCCTGCACCTACACTTGGGACCCAGTTGGAGTTCTTGGCTCCTAGTTTCAGTTGCAGCCATTTTGGGAGTGAACCATGGGTGGAAGTTATTTCTCTCTCTCTCTCTGTCTCTCTGTCTCTGTCTTCTCTCTTTCAAGATTTGTTTTTATTTGAGAGAGGGAGAGAGATCTTCTGTTTGTTGATTTTATTCTTCTGTCTGTTGATTTTATTCTACAAATATATACGACAGCCATGATCGGGCCAGGCTGAAGCCCGAGCTTCACTGGGGCCTGAGCACTTGGGCCGTTCTCTGCTGGTTTTCCCAGGTTCATTAGCTGGAAGCTGGATAGGAAGTGGAGTAGCTGGGGCTTGAACTGGCACCCTACAGCATACTGGGGTCACAGGCAACAGCTTTATTTGGTATGGGATAACACCAGTCCCAAGTAAGTCTGTCTGTCTGTCTGTCTGTCTCACTTACTCTGTCCTCTTACCCCTCTCTCTCCTTCTCTTTCTATAACTCTGCCTTTCAAATAAGTAAATAAACCTCAAAAAAAAAAAAAAAAAGAAAAAGCAATTGGGATGAATAACAATAGAAATTTCTATAGTCTTTCTCAAGAATCACCTCTAATTAGCTAATTTGCAATGTGAAAATAAAATTTAAAAGCATCATTAAGTTGACTTTATAAATTGAATGTTCAAATAAGTACGGACTGAGAAAATGTTTACAAAATATAGAGAGTGAATTATTTGGAGAACTGTTCAGCTCCTGCATTGTAGCAAACCTGGAAGAGGAGAACTCCTAAAATGCCAGGCATTCTGGCTCTCAGCAGTGAATGATGCCTAAGTACTGGAATTCCTGCCGTCGGCATGGAAGACCTAGCATTCCTGGCTCCTGCCTTTGGCCTCACCTAGCCTGGGTGTTTTGAGCATTTGAGAAGTGAACCAGGAGATAGAATCTCTCTCTTCTCTCTCTCTCTCTTTCTCTCCCTCCCTTTGTCTTAGTCTCTGCCTTTCAAATACATAAATTTAAACAAACAAAATAAGACCAAAGGCATGTGGAAAGACTTCATTTATATATAAACTTTGTCAAACCCTGTGGCTACCTTGCCCAGAAAAAATGGGACAGATTTTTTGGTTAGCTGGCAAGAGTATGATTGTATGGACATTCGTGTTTGTATGCCACTAGTGAACATGAGAGCTTCCTTAGACTTGGTGAGTGTATGTCCCTGACTCCTTGTTAAATAATGTGGATTCTGGGGCTGGCATTTGCTGCAGCATTGCACTTGGCATCACATATCAGAGTGTCTAGGTTCAAGTCCTGCCTGTATCCTGTTCCAGCTTGCTGCTGCTGTGTCCCGGGAGGCGGCAGATGATGGCCCGAATACCTAGGTTCTTTCTCCCCATTCCTGCCTTCAGACTTCTCCATCTCTGGGTGTTTATGAGCATCTGGGGAGTGAACTAGCAGCTGAAAAATTGTGTGTTTGTGTGTGTTTGGGTCAGGGGGTGCTCTATCTATACCGTTTAAATAAACTCTAAAATAAATATAGTTGTTTATGAAAATGTAAGTTCTGAGTCAGGATCTGAAGGTGTAACCTGAAGTTCTGCATTTCTGGTGAGGTGATTGAGCTAACCATGAATGCCTTCTTTGTGTAGTGAGATTCTATAAAGGAGTTGAAATGTGTCCCCTGACCTGGTCATCCTGGGAATTTGTCCTATAGAAACAAGTGACTGTGTGCCAGTATGGTGTTAAGTTAATCCATAGGGTAGTCATAATCTCTGCTTTCAAATAAGGAACTAAAGGCTATCATAGAGGTTAACTAATTTGTCTAGGGTGACATGACCGGCAGGTGACCAGGTCAGGATCCAGAATAAGTCTGTGATTGCCGCCTGCGGCTCAGTATATATTCAGTACTGTATATCTCCAGATTTCCCTGCAGAGACATACATTTCAGGGCTAGAGAACAAACTGTATCCACACTAGGAGGTGCATATACCACTCAGGGAAAATGTTGATGAAACAGTACTAGAAGAAAGAGTTATGCCCGTAATGATAGGACTGCAGTTTTAAAAACACACAGAATCCAATTGTTTGTGTCATATATGTGACTGTGTAAAAAAAATACCAGCCAAGGGACGTTCGCAAAACTTTCACAGTGATTGCCACTGAATGGATGAGTGAGTGTACTCATTTTCTTTATGTTTTTCTATATGCTATAATTTTTAAAAGGTTTATTTATTTTACTTGAGTTAGAGGGTAGAGGAAGACAGAGATATTCATTGATTAGTTCACTCTCCAACTGGCTCAGAGAGCCAGTGGTCAGAGCTATGCTGGTTCAGAGCTGGAGGTCAGAAGCTTCTTCTGGATTTCTCACCTGGGTGCAAGGGCCCAAAGCCTTCCTTGGACCATCCTCCGATGCTTTCTCAAGCCACTAACAGAGAGCTAGATTGGAAGTTGAGCAGTCAGGACTCAAACCGGTGCTCATGTGGAGTGCCAACACTACATCCAGAGGATTGGCTTGCTATGCTACCATGCTAAGCACCTACATTCTGTAAATTTTTTTTGTTACTATAAAAGTATTATTGGTTTTAGACCTTTCAAATTAACAGAAAGGAATACATATGATGGAAGTATGACATGTAGTATACTTGGAATAATAAATAGGTTCCCATAACCTTATCTTTCACCCTAACAAATAGTATGCTTATATTTACTAAGATTACTAAGTGGTTTGTGTACCCTTCCTCCCAGAGGACAGGCTCTGAGTTTCCTGATTTGTGTTTATCCTCCCACCTTTTCCATTGCAGTTTTATTCCACATGTGCATATCTGTAAATATTCTATGTTTTGGCACTTAGTGTGAGTGGTATCATGCTAAGTGTTTCCTTCTACAACTTGCGTTTCTTCCCCTCTTAGCCTTCTGTATTCGTTTTTTTTTTTTTTTATGTTTGAGATGTACTTATTTAAAAGTCACAGTTATAAAGAGAGGAGGGGAGAGAGACATAAAGACCTTCCATCTACTGGTTCATTTCTAGGTAGCCACAACAACCAGGGCTGAGCTATACTGAAGCCAGGAGATTATCTGTGTCTCCCAAGTGGTTGGCAAGGGTGCAGAAACTTGGGCCATCTTCCACAGGTTTTTTTTTGAGGCCATTAACAGGGAGCAGGACCAGCAGTAGAGCATCTGGGACACTCCTCAGCGCCCATAAGGGATACTGACGTCATGCGTGACAGCTTTGCTTGCTGTGCCACAACGCTGGCCCCCACATGCGTTGATTTTTAACCCTAGCATTCAATGTTGAGAATTCACTGTGGGTTACTGATTTCTCAGCTGGTAGATCTGTTTCCAGTTTACTACTGTTAGAAAATTGCTGCTGAGAACATTCTTATCCTGATAGACATGCACAAAAGCATCCCTTCGAGTTGTTTTTTTAATGCAAATTATTTTCCAAAGAAATGATAGCAATATGAGCCCCTCTGACTCCTGTTGCTATGCACATTTGCCAGTATTTGGTAATGTTTTCCTTTGTAACCAGAACAAAACAAAGGCTTAAACATATAACCTTATCAGAATGCTAATCTCAAGGCTTTCCATGAACAAATATAAATCGTATTGAGGGGTTGGCAGTGACGTGGTCTTGTCTGTGTTCTTACAGGTACGCCAACAGCAGCCTCATCAAGTACATGGAGAAACACAAGGTCAAGCCAGACAGCAAAGTCTTCCTGTTGGTGGGTGCCCCCCTCACGCACTGCCCCTTGTCCTGCCACGCCTCATGTACTTGAGATGCTGGGGCAAAATCATCTTCCTGTTGTGATATCACATTTGAACTTGTGACCTTAGTTCTTGTGGCTTTTTCTTCCCCAATGATTTATTACAGGGGGAAAAAAAAAGTCTGAAAAGAGATTCAGTGCTGATCATTTCTGCCAATTTCAAATAAATTTAAAGTTCACAGAAAATGCTTATTATGAGGAAACAGTGCATGAGTTTCAGGTTTTTTTTTTTTTTTTTTTTTTGCACGCAATTAACCTGCCTTTTATTCCATTTCCGTCAACTTTTTGAAGTTTCGGTATGTGTGTACCAATTATGCAGTAGGCTACACAAAATGTTAACCCTGTCAGACATTAATATTGGGGTACTTCAAAAATCCGGGGGTGGGGGAGCAGTTTTAAAGCGTGGGTTTGTGTTGGTGCGAGCAGTGTTTATCGTAGCATGCAGACAGTGGACAATGCATATCATGTAAAGTACCATTTGGGTTTCGGATCTCCACCACATCAGCTCATTCTTGTCAATCCCTTGCCTGAAGTCAACTGGTTGCCTGTTAAATAAGCTTTTCACGTGCCATCAATGTGTTCTCTGTTCCTGTAGCTCCAAAAACTGCTCACCATGGACCCAACCAAGAGGATCACATCCGAGCAGGCGCTGCAGGACCCCTATTTTCAGGAGGACCCATTGCCAACATTGGAGTACGTAGCCCACCCCTCCCTGACCCCGGCTCTGGCACAGAACCCCGTTCCTTCCGCCATTCCTTTGAACCCAGAAAAAAAAACTGCTGACAAGGAAAATTAGTCTTGTGAATCAGGGCAAAGTCATAGAAAGTGAAAATGGTTACTTCAGGGAGGACCACTAACCTGCTTCTCTTTTGAAAAATCACCCAAGGACAGCTGAGCAGGAGACCAAGCCCTTTCAGGCTTATATCCCATATTGCGCCCAGTGAGCTGCCTAACTCCTCTATGCCGCACCCCTTATTACTCCCAGGTGTATATTCTGTGCTCGTTATTAGAGGTGCAGTTAAATTTTTTTTTCTTATTGAAGTGAATGTAAATTCAGAACTTGAACTTTTGGTGCAGAATGAAGTTAGTATGGGGGAACTTCTGTGCCGTACACATGCCAGCTAACAGCAAGAAAGATAAGAAATTGAAAGTGGCAGCAAGGGTCGACCTTCATACAACTAAGCTTTTCTTGTTTCAGTTAAGTGGAATGGGAGGCCTAGGGATTAAGCAAATGCCAAGCACAGCAAGTAGGGAATAAATTAAGGAATTAAAAATGGAATTTTAGGTGGATGAGATAAGGAGATTGTGTAGTTTAGGCTGTGGCATGTCATGATTCTTTTTTTTTTTTTTTCATGGCTTTTAGTGTGTTTGCTGGCTGCCAGATCCCATACCCCAAACGGGAATTCCTCAATGAAGATGAGCCAGAAGAAAAAGGTGACAAGGTATGAACCGTGTGGCATGCTTTGGCTTCAGATCCCTGAGGGCAGAACAATGATAACTCAGGGAGGTGTGATTGAATTGTTTCTAGATATTTCACTGCCTTTTATTGAATTAAGAATGGATTTAGCGTGTTTTCTGTAGGAGCTTGTTGGTATGAGGATTGTACGTGGACCTTGAAGGCTGAAATAGCAAGCTGGCAGATAAAGAAGCCTGCTGTAGCCCCGACTTCCTGGTTCTTGCTTGTTCATTCACTTTCATTAATCTGACATGGTGCGGGCTGGCATCCGCACCGTCACCAAATTCTCACTTTGACTAGATGTGTTCACCACCACGCCACACTGCTCTACTAACACAAAGTCACAATCGAATACACTTGGTGCAGCTGGTCCAGTTGAGTGCACAAGCGTTTCTGCCTTATGCCCTCCAGTGAGCTGTCTGCAGCTGATATGGTGGTTTACGGCACAGTCTAGTTGGTTTGGGGCCTTCGGACAGGCTGGACTCCAGCTGCTCCCCTCTGTAGCTGCACCCTGGCCAGTCTGCAGTCACATGTACTCATCAGGTGAGGTAGGGCGTGCATTCATCTGGTTTCATGCCAGGCTTGCTTTTCCTCCTTTGAAGAATCAGCAGCAGCAGCAGCAGCAACAGAACCAGCATCAGCAGCCCACGGCCCCTCCACAGCAGGCAGCTGCCGCCCCACAGGCACCGCCAGCCCAGCAGAACAGCACCCAGACCAACGGGACCGCAGGAGGGGCTGGCGCCGTGGCTGGGGTCGGTGGGGCCGGGACTGGGCTGCAGCACAGCCAGGACTCCACTCTGAGCCAGGTGCCTCCAAGCAAGAAGCCCAGACTGGGGCCCTCCGGGACGAGCTCAGGCGGACCCGGCCTGCCTGCCGAGTATCAGGTAATTTGTCCTCACGAACACCCTTATGTCTTGTACATCAAGACCTTGATTTAAAATAGATCCTCTTAGAGTTGAGCAGTTTTCAGCTGTTAGCATTTGACTGTTTAAACCGTGTGACCCTGTTTCTCAGACACTATAAGAAGGTGAAATTTTTCTAAAAGTCAGATTTCATGTCATTGCAAGAGAGCTTGTCTCCTGCCTTCTTCACTCTGAGCACCTTTGTCAAGGAGTAGTGCAGGTAGGAGGCAGACACCCCTTTCCTTAAAGCAAGCCTTGTCCGTTTACCCTCACAGCTGTGATCAGCCTTGGCTCAGACCAGGACACCTAGATGAGCATTTGCAGGAGAGGCGAGTGGCCGCTAACGCTAGACAAAGTTGGCTGAGTTTCCAGCATTCTTCAAAAAGATTGGTTCCCACCAAAAGAAAATAACCAGTTAAGCAGTCACAGAGATACGGAAGAGAAAGGGATTAAGTCTTAAGTCTAAAATACCTCTATAAACCCTACCAAAAAAAGTTGCTTTGGAGTGATAAAAATATACTCTGTAATAACTTTAGGAAATAATGCAGACCAACAGACATTTTCAGAGTAGCAACAAGTCAAGAAAAGGCCGAAAAGGAAAAGGAAAACTTGAAAGATTAAAAAAAAAAAAACCAACTTCACAATCATGGTCCCCTAGGGAACTCGCAAAAGAGGAGCTTGGAGGATAGGGATAATAGAAAACACAGCCACTGGTATGGGGACCATAAACCCACTGATAAGGAACTGGAGTAGAGGCTGCCATTAACCAGGAAAACGTGATCAGTAGCCGCCTACACTGGCTCCACATTTTGAACGTTTCAGCAGACTAATGAGTTTTCACAAAATCATTTGGCTGGAAATGTTTTCTTTTCCCAGATTTCCCTCAAGCAGAGAAGATGTAACACTTCCATTTGGATCTGATTGAGCTAATCAAGGCCTCGCTATAATCTGCTTGCTATTTGGGTAGCAGTCATGAATGCCCTTGAGTTTTGTTATAAATTTAGTTCCCTCCGCCTCCCCCCACAAACTCAGCAGGTTATCTTTAAGTTGGTCATGCTGCACACTGGTTCGTATTTATAACTCTAACTGTACTACATTACCCTGCATTAAAGTTTCCGCAAAAACCCATGTTCTGTGTTGAAGGTGATACACAGCGCACTGTGTGGGTGGGTAGGTCAGGAGGTAGGGGAGGCATGATGATGGATACAGAGACCACGGGACCAGAACCTCCCCCTGGACCCAACCACAGCACCAGCAGGGCCCACTGGAAAGGGATAGCCAAAGAGCAGGATGCGGTTAGTGGGTGGAAAATAACTAAGAAGCAGCAAGAGATAAAATGATTTTGACTGAATTGACTTGATAAAACTGTCACTGAAGGCAGGCCTGGGCACTAAGATATCAGGGGTAGAAGAGTTTTGTTAAATAATTTAGCAGGATTCTTGTCCCTGGGGTCAAGCAGAGGACTCGGAGGAGCCTGGTTATGGCTGTGGTCAAAGGAAGACGCCTTTGTCATCTGATTACAATCAAGGAGAGACAGTTGACTGTATTTCCTCCCTGGGTTTATCAGGTTCAAAAACTGTTCAAAATGCTCTTCTGTGTCTACATTGTTCTAGCTTGCTAAGAAAAAATAAGGCTTACATCATGTACCTATGAAATGAATAGCTCTCTCAGCTGTGTAGTTGGAGAGACTAGCATGAGGTGGAGCCAGGGAGCCCCACAGCCTGTAATTTGCAACTCTTACATAACGTGTTTGTTCTTTCTTCAGTACCCAGAGCTGTTGAGCTGAGTCTCATCTGCTAATGTGGGAGCATTCATAGCAGGTCTACCCTGTTAGGCACTGGGCTTGGCATTTTCTTCCCTCTCTCCTTACATTTTCCAGTCCTGGAACTTCTCAGAAATAACACATCTTTATATTTAATTTTGATGTCTTCATCAACACACCATTCTTTAAACAGATTTATTTATTTTTTATTGGAAAGATTACATAGAAAAAGAGGGACAGAGAAAAAGATTATCCATCCACTGGTTCATTCCCTAAGTGGTCACGATGACAAGAGCTAAGCCGGTTCGAGTCCAGGAGCTTCTTCTGGGTCTCCCACTGGGTGCAAGGTCCCAAAGCTTTGGGCCGTCCTCAACTGCTTTCCCAGGCCACAGGCAGGGAACTGGATGAGAAGTAGAACAGTAAGGACACGAACAGGCAGCCAGATGGGATTCTGGCACATGCAAGGTGAGGACTTAGCCACTAGGCTACCATGCCAGGCCCCATGAATACTTTTTTTTTTTAAGATTTATTTTATTTTTATTGGAAAGTCAGATATACCAGAGAGGAGGAGAGACAGAGAGGAAGATCTTCCATCCGATGATTCACTCCCTAAGGGGCCGCAACAGCCAGAGCTGCGCCGATCCAAAACCAGGAGCCAGGAGCCACTTGCAGGTCTCCCAAGTGGGTGCAGGGTCCCAAGGCTTTGGGCCGTCCTCCACTGCTTTCCCAGACCACAAGCAGGGAGCTGGATGGGAAGCTGGGCTGCTGGGACTAGAACTGGAATCCACATGGGATCCCAGCATGTGCAAGGCGAAGACTTTAGCTACTAGGCTACTGCGCTGGGCCCTGAACACTTTTTAAAAGATTATTTTTATTTGAAAGGGAAGTTTACAGAGAGAAGGAGAGACAGAGGAAAAGATCTTCCATCTGCTGTTTCACTCCCTGGATGATCACAACGGCTGGAGCTGAACTAATCCAAAACCAGGAGCCAGGAGCTTCTTCAATTCTCCCATAAGGGTGCAGGGTCCCAAAGCCTTGGGCCATCCTCTTCTGCTTTTCCAAGCCACAAACAGGGAGCTGGAAAGGAAGTAGAGCAACCAAGACTAGAATTTGCACTCATAGGGGATGCCGGTGCTTGCAGGCAGAGGATTAGTCAATTAAGCCATTGTACCAACCCCCAGGAACATTCTTAAAAATGAAAACCTGGGCCCGGTGCAGTGGTTTAGTGGCTAAAGACCTCACCTTGAACGTGCCGGGATCCCATATGGGTGTCGGTTCTAATCCTGGCAGCTCCACTTCCCATCCAGCTCCCTACTTGTGGCCTGGGGAAGCAGTTGAGGATGGCCCAAAGCCTTGGGACCCAGCCACCCATGTGGGAGACCTGGAGGAAGTTCCTGGCTCCTGGCTTCGGATCAGCTCAGCATTGGCCGTTGAAATCACTTGAGGAGTGGATCAACAGATAGGAGATCTTCCTCTCTGTTTCTCCTCCTCTCTGTATATCTGACTTTGCAATAAAAAAATAAATAAATCTGAAAAAAAAAAAGAAAGAAAGAAAACCTATGGGACCACCAGTGTTGCATAATAGGCTTAGTCTCTTTGGTGCCAGCATCCTATATGACTGCCATTTCAAGACCCAGCTGGTCCACTTCTGACTCAGCTCTATGTTAATGACCTGGGAAACCAGCAGAAGCTGGCCCATGTGGGACACCAGAAAGAATCTCTTGACTTTGGCCTGGCCAAACTCTTTGTTTTGGCTATTTGGGTGGAGAGCCAGCTTATGGAAAATATTCTATCCCATATGGGCACTGGTTTGTTTCCTGGCTGCTCCACTTCCAATCCGGCGCCCTGCTAACTGCTAGAGAAAAGCAGCAGCAGATGGCCCAAGTGCTTGGTCTCCTACCACCCACACGAGATACCTGGATGAAGTTCTTGGCGCCTAGGCCCAGCTTTGGCCATTGTGACCATTAGGGAGTGATCCAGCAGAGGAAGTGCTCTCTTCCTTTCTGTCTCACCTTCCATCTCTCTGTAACCCTTTTAAAATACATTAGCAAGGAAAAAAAAAAAAACAGAAGTGCTTTGGAGTCGTGATAAAGCCTTTTGAGCTGCTAAGGACATTAGCTAATGACATTGCCACTAGAGATTTGTGAGTAGGAAGATATTTTCTTTTCATAATGAACTTCAAAATAGAACATGTAGTTAGGTTTGTAATTTTGAAGGTGTCTCACAGAGCCAGTTACACAGCTTAGAAAGGCATGCAGCTGAGCTGTGCTCACCCTCAACTGTCTGGGACCACGCATTGCAAGGCGCAGCAGTAGCCCTTGCATGCTGAGCGGGTAGGAAATTGTAGTTTTCTCCTTTCTCAAACCCTCGCGATTCCTCAGCCTTACTTGTGTCTTATTTACGCTTTTTCTTCATTTATTTGCAAGGCAGAGACAGAGAGACTTTGATTTGCTAGTTCTCTCCCCAGGTGCCCGCCACGTCCAGGGCTAGCCCAGGCTGTAACCAGGAACCTGGAACTCAATCCATGTCGTCTCCGTGGGGGGCAGGGACCCAATTACCTGCTTTGTCTGGTCAGTGGGGCTGCAGATTGCCCCGAACTTCTGCCCCTGAAAATGTTTTGCTCTGAGATAAGTGGGTTTTTTGATCACAATAAGAAGAACAATAGCAGCATGCCGGTATCCATCACGAACCCCGCTGAGTTCTATATGCCACACCTGTCACTGGTGTGAATCCCAGTTACGCAGTTAAACTGCACCCCAGGATCAGCCAATGCTGAAGAGTTGGGGGGGGGCGTGTGCTCCCTCCCCACTCTGCTGGTTGACTTGGTGCCTGCCCAGAGTGTGCGGTTACACACTGGGCTTTACAGAAGCACAAGGTGTTAGCTAGTGAAGTCAGCTCTCAGCCACTGTGGACGTGAGCAGCAGTGTGACAGCCAAGACGGCTTCCGTGTCCGTCTTGTGTTACATCGTGACCCATCCTCCCCTTCCATCACTAATTCCCTGTCCTCATTTCCTTCTCCCAGCACTCCAGTTCCCGCCTGAATTACCAAAGCAACGTTCAGGGATCCTCCCAGGCGCAGAGCACCCTGGGCTACTCCTCCTCGTCTCAGCAGAGCACGCAGTATCACTCCTCTCATCAGGCCCACCGGTACTGAAGCCACCCCTGGCCCGGCCCAGCCTGAGCACAGGCCACAGCAATACAATGTCTGCGTTGAAAAGGAGTCCCTCCCCCCCATGGAAACCCCCTCGTCATCTGATACTCTCACCCTCGGGAAGAAAACATCGAACTCTGAGCATTTTGCAGCTCCCCCGAAACCCAACACCCCTCTCCCGCATGTGACCCATTGTGACTTCTTTGATGAAGCAGCTGATGGGATCCCAGCACTTGTGTACCCTTGGACACTGTTTTTGAAGGATTTCCTGGTGCACCTTTCTCCTGCTATAGCAATCACTATGAGTTGTCTTTTCATAGCTCTTTTAATAGGATTTTAATGTTCAGGAACAAGAGTCCAGCGGTGTATAGTTTTGTACTTCATGAACTGGCAGCACAGATGAAAAACGCCCCTGTGAATGTGCCACGTTGTTTTCAGACTTAAGTGTTTTGCTCATGGAAGTCTTAAACAAGAAGCTGTTACTGTCCCAAAGCACTGTACTGTGGTGTTGTTATTTATCTAGTTTCAGGGAAGGTCTGCTAAAGAGACAAGCAGTGCGACAGAAGGATGTGCAACCAAACCCAGCGTGGATCTTTGCCTGACTCTGCCTTGTGCTAGGAGGAGTTGAAGGATGTGGTATCTTTTTTATATAATCATTCATCTGGAACTAAGTTCCCAGAATCTCCTTTATTTTGGATAATACTCAGTGATGAAGAATTATCATTTGTAACCTTCACGTAGCCAAGTCTACTTTAAAAGGGTTTTTGAGAGCGTCGGTGAAACCCAGGCCCCTGGCACCCCGCGCCGGAAGCCGAAGAGGAGGCGGCCCGCGCTAGGATTCCTGCGAGGAGTCATGTTGCACGAAGACACATCCCTCCTGGAGGAAATCTCTCCATGTGCATTGAACGTGAAGCCGGCTTCTCTAAAGAACCGTGGGTCTCCGCCCGCCCCCCTCTCCGGGTCTGAGAAACTTCCTTATGGAATCAGGGGGACTTGATTAGAAGCCTACAAGCGAATCTGCTTTTCAAATGAAGAGCAACATTCTCATTTGTACTTACATTTAGACATAGAGTGACTATTTTTAAAGCATGTTAAACTTTTAGGTTTTATTCATGTTTAAAATATGTATCATGTATGCATAATTTTGCTGTTGTTTCTGCAACTGAATTCTATCGAGAATCTTTCCATTGCACTGAATGCTTTCTTTTGCCCCTAGGAGAAAACTTAATCATTGTGCCTAAAAACTACGGGCAGATAGTATAAAGCTATCCTATATGACTATGCTAGATAAGGTGACTGCATTTCCATGATCTCTGAGTTGTGTCTTAGGAGAATTAGGAAGACTTAGAGCTCCCGCTGTAATGTAAGGGGCAAGATATGGGTGTTCTTCTTAGTGCCCCTGGCAGCACCCGCCTTGTTGTATGTGTCCTCTCTGAGCTAGAAGAAATAGCTGATGGTGGTATATGCAAATGATATGCATTTTTTTAAACTATTCTTTGTGAACTTATCTACCTGGTTACGATACTCTGGGTCCACACACAAGTTAGGATTTTAGGCAGAAGCCAGGATACATTTTGCACTATTGCTGTGATACTGTAGCCAGCCAGAACCTTACTGATCTCAGCATAATATTGGTTATTATCATAGAGACTGTATAAAGGCACTCACCGAGACAGAAGGAATTCCCAGTCATCTCCAGGCTCCTTCTGACTCCTTCCACTTTCCAAAATAAGAGATGAACAGCCCACCATATGATGTCACTGCCTAAGGACATCTTGACCTGAGCTGCTGCTTGTGGGGTGCCCACTACTCCCACTGCAAGCCCACCCTGAGGGAGGACACACTTCCGGTCCAGTCCCACGGCAGCTAGCTGTCCCGAATGACTGATGACAACATGCAAGTAGAATATGAGGGCCCCTTTGTTTACTCCTAAGCCCGCTCGTGGCTAGTAGCTCTTCCAAGTTCTGTTCTGCAATCAGCAGTGTTAGAGAAGTGTCCATCGTGACATAGTACTTCAGACGTTCGCGGCAGCCATGACTGGGAGGGGTGCATAGCTTCAGGATGTAGGAAAGACAGAAGGCAGACCCGAGTCTGTAGATTGTTCTAGTCCATGCTATGCTTCCCTCACGGGTCGTGGACCTCTTGCTGACAGAGGCAGAACCCCCATTCTGCATGCGAGTGAGGGTCTCGTCACCACTCTGGGCGGGCCTCCTCTTCTCCCCTCAGGGTTGGCAGTGCCCACTGGTGCTCACAGGCGCTCACAGGCCTTTCAAGTAGTCATATGTTGTACTTTTTCCCACTCTGTAATGGGAGACAAAGCTGCAATGCTTTTTTTTTTGTTGTTGTTTTTTGAGGAGGAGGAAATTTGCCTTTTCTGTGGGTCCATCTTTGAAAATGTGGCCGAGCCTACGAAGCCCCCTGGGGCTGTAGGGGTCCACCACTTAGCCCGTGGGCACAACAGTGCCAGGGAAAGCTACAGACCCAAGGGAACGCTCTCTGCTTCGCAAACTACCAAATCCAGTGGTGGGGCACATGTTAGGGCAAAGCAGTCGAGGGTTACAAGACAGATGAGCCCAAGATAAGGTAGCTTGGCACTGGGCTAGGTAGAAACAGTCCTTGCCATGAACTAGCTCACACAGTGACATGCAGCAAGCAAGAATGTGTCTATTTTTATACCTGTGGGTTGGGGACTTTAGTACTTAGAATGTTGACCTGCACTACTTTTTTGCTGTTAGCAGACACGATTTACAGTTAAGGACGGAAAGGGACGGGATCTGCCTATGGCTTCACTGTCTCCTTCCAGGTGAAGCACCTACTCTTGCTTCTCCAGGCCTCTGAAACCCTAACAGACGGTTGGCATACATTTGTGTTAGCAGAAGCTACGCAATTAAGGAAGAATTCTGTGTAAATCGCAAATCCTAAATGCCCCAATGGTGTCTTCCCAGGGAACGGAAAAAGGCAGCAAAATGGCAGTTAGACTAACTGAGGTTGGAAAGGTTCAACTACAGCTCATCTTTTATATAAAGCCTAGCAGTTTAGTTTCCCCTAATCTTGAGGAATAGTCACAAATCACACACACACAGACTCAAATTTCATTGCTTTAGGACTTAAAAATAAATGTGTCGTATCTAAGGCCATAACTTACTCTTCTATGCTATCCCTGTGAAGGAGTGCTATATGTATTATATGAAAAAAAATCCTTAATGCACTGTTATCTCCTAAATATTTAGTAAATTAATACTATTTAATTTTTTTAAAGATTTGTCTGTGTAGACACTAAAAGTATTACACAAAATCTGGACTGAAGATGTCCTTTTTAACAACAATTTAAAGTACTTTTTATATGTGTTATGTAGTGTATCCTTTCTAAACGGCCTAGTTTGTATTTCCTGTAATTCCTGTTTGTGAAGTGTACCTGTCCTTGGCTCTTTTTTCGGTCATTTTCTGCACGCCTGCCCCTTTATATGGTAATGGAGCGGATGGTAACTTTCCCCACTCGGCCTGGAGCTGACTGCACCCCGTGAGGTCCACCCCATGGGGTGCAGGGCGAGCTGCCACTGTGGAGCTGAGTGACTCCCAACTTTTGAGTTGTCCTCTCTTCTTGAAACGACTGTTAAAACTAAAAATAAATTACATTGCATTTATTTTATATTCTTGGTTGAAATAAAATTTAATTGACTTTGTTTCTCTGTGGATTTCTTTTCTTTCTTTTTTTTTTTTATTTCTTTGAGAGGCAGAGATCTTCCATCTACAGGTTCACTCCCCCAGCACCTGCAGTGGCCAGGACTGGGTGAGCCCAAAGCCAGAAGCCAGGAAACACTCGGGGTCTCCCATGTATATGGCAGAAAACCTTAGAACTGAATTATCACTTGCTGCCATCAGCAGGAAGCTGGGATGTGCATCAGCAGGAAGCTGGAATCGAGGAGCCAGGAGCTTCTTCCAGATCTCCTATGTGGGTGCAGGGACCCAAGCACTTGAACCATCCTCTGCTGCTTTCCCAGGTATATTAGCTGGGAGCTGGATCAGAAGTGGAGCAGCTGGGACTAGAACCAGTGCTCATATGGGATACTGAGGACTCCGACAGCAGCTTAACACATTGTGCTACACCTACAGGCAGGCACTTTAAATCCTTATGTACCATTATTTGTCCTGGTAAGCAGGAGAAGCAACACAACACCTGAAAGGAAAATATGTGTGTGTGTTTATCTGAATGAGAGCACGGTACGGGGAAACGGGAATCCAATGTTGACCTCAGACATCATAACGTGTCTCTTTAGCACTTTCCTTCTTGACTGCTCAGACACCATCGAACAGCCCTGCTGAGTTGCCTCACATGCAGAAGTGGCCAAGGGCTGGACATGCATGCATTCATATGATCAGTCCTCACCCCCCAAGTAACTGCATCCTCAGTGGGGGCCTTCATGGAAGTAAGGAAGGGTAGTGAGGTTGCAGCCTGATGTCACAGAATGGCTGCCCTTAACAAGACACACCAGGGAGCTTGCTGCCTGTTCCTCTTCCCCTCCAGGATACTGTAACAAAGCAGGTGTCTGTGGACAAGCAGGGAAGAAGCCCCACCAGGCATGCACCGGTTTTACCAGATCTTGTGTGGTACAAGCAGTCTGCAGAACTCTGGGGGAAAAAAAATGTGTGAAGCTAAAGGCACTTGTGTGTGGTACTCTGTTATGGAGGCAAACCTGAGTAATACGCTCACCTCACCTTTGTGGCTAACAAAACACGCCTGATCTCTTGACTCCATCCTCCACACAGAACAATTGTCTTTGAACCACTAAGACATAATTTACTTTAGTTTGCTTGCCTTCTCCAACTTTTTCCTTTTAACTAGCTTAATTTTAACTGAATTCTGGATTTCCCTACCCACCCTCCTTTAAAAAAAAAAAAAGATTTATTTAACAGTATTTGAAAGACAGAGTAACAGAGAAGGAGAGAGAGAGGTCTTTCATCTGCTGCTTCAGTCCACAGATGTCTGCAACAGCCAGAACTGAGAAAGGACTAGGAGCCAAGAGCCTCTTCTGGGTCTCCCACGTGCGCATAGGGGTTCAAGACCTTGAGCCATCCTCTGCTGCTCTCCCAGGCCATAAGCAAGGAGCTGGATAGGAAGTGGAGCAGCTGGGACATGATCTAGCACCCATATGGGATACTGGTACCTTGGGCAGAGGTACACAGCTGGCTACACCATGGTGCTGGCCCCTCCCTCTTGCCTTCTTTCTAGTTTAAGTTCAAAAGCCCCTGAAAGATTTGTCCCCAAAGACAAGCTTCACACTTGAAGTTGGGCATGTACTACTCGTATCTGCAGGCTATCCTTTATCAGAAAATGGCTGGTGTTCCTGGGAGGGATGACTGTTACTGTGATCCTACCCACACCCTGCCCTTCCTACAGGCCTGGAGTGCCATTGTCTGTCTCACGTATTTGGTAGGTCCCCTCTGTGCAGCATGCACCACACTGGGCAGTTAGGCAGTGTGATTAATGTGCGCAGGAATTGAACAGGGGCAGCAAGCCTGTGCATGGGGAATAGACCATGAGAGGGTCTGCAGGAGGGGGACTGCCTAAGGGTCACAGCTGGTGGTGTGACACGGTGAGCAGGAGGCGGGGAAGGATTCCAGGCAGAACAGTGTGCGTGAAAGTGGCATGTCTGTGAACACAAGAACTTGAGAACTGTTTGCATGTGTGAATGCTGGAGATGGAACAAGGCTGGGTCGCTGCTGGGAAGCTTGCATCCTGTGACACTGGCATTCCACATGGGCTCCGGTTCGAGTCCCAGCGGTTCCACTTCCATTCCAGATCCCTCTCCCTGCTAATGGGCCTAGAAAAGCAGCAGAAGATGGCTCAAGCGCTTGGGCCCCTGCACCCAGGTGGGAGACTTGGAAGAAGCTTGTGGCTGCTGGCTTTGGCCTGGCCAACTCCCTGGCTGTTGAGGGCATTTGGGAAGTGAACAAATAGATCTTCCCTTCTCTCTGTGTGTCTAACTCTGCTTTCAAATAAATAGAACTTATTTTAAAAGGTTATTTATATATAATAAAGAGGGTGGAAGTGAATCTGAAGAGGTCTCAGCAGTTCCAGATTTTCATGTTCCGAGGCTTTCAGTGGGGAGGGTGGACTGAACAGGTGCAATTCACAGAAAGCACATCAGAAAGGCTAGCTGGAGACAGAGATGACCAGCCCCCAGCATTTGAACTCAAAACTGCCTGGCCTCATCCTCTGCTTTGGATGTCTTCTGTGCATTTGTTGGTCCCGGCAGAACCCTTTTTACAAGATCCAGGTGCTACTCCAAGCTAATACACATGATGGTGCAAGATTGGATGGAAGTCTAGTCCAAGTGTAATGTGTGGTTGTACTTGATTAAAATTTTCCTTTTTGTTGACATAAATTGTAAGCAGTGAACACACTGATGCAAAGTGTCAGGTTTAAAGGCTTCTGACACACGGCCTCCATTCATGTAACTGCAACTTGGGTCAAGAAACAGCATTTCCATCACCCTGAATATCCTCACATTCTCTTTTTTGCTAAGTTCCTCCATGCCCTTAGAAGCCACTCTTCGGTTTCTGTTTTCTGACATCAGTGTTGCCTTTTTAGAATGTCATAGAAATGGGTCATACTGTTTCTTCCCTCTTATGTCTGGATTTTGTAAAACAGTCACCCCAGCTGGCTGTATCAATGAGGTGTTTCTTACTGTGCAGTTAAACTCCGTAATGTGAATATGCCCCAATGTGATGACTCATTCATCCATTGCTAGCTGTTGTGAAGGACGCTGCTGTGAACATTTCTGCATAAATTTTGTTGGCTTTTGTTCTTATTTCTTTTGGTTATGCTTAGAGATGGATCATAGAATTAAAAAAAAAAAACCATGAGAGCCTTCCAATGTGCTTATGGTACCTATTTCTCTCTCTCTCTTTTTAAGATTCATTTATTTATTTGAAAGGTTCAGAGGGACAAAGTTCTAGCTACTGATTCACTTCCCAGATGGTCACAATGACCTGGGTAGACCCTGAAGCCCAGGGAGTTTATCCTGGTCTCCCACACGGATGGCAGGGTCTCCAACACTTGGGCCATCTTCCACTGCTTTTCTCCACCCCATGGAGCTGGATTGAAAGTGGAACAGCTGGGACTTGAACAGCACCCATTTGGGATGCTGATGTCACTGGCAGTAGCTTTACTCACTGTACCACAGTGCCTGGCCCATGGTACCTTTTTATGAAAGTCCTATTTGTTTGAAAAGCAGAGTGACCGAGAGTGGGGTACACGAAAAGAGAGAGAGAGATCTTTCATACAGTGGAACATTCCCAAATGCTGCAACACTTGGGGTAGAGCCAGGCTCAAACTGGGAGCTAGGTGCTTCATGTGGTTTTCCCATGTGGGTAGCAGGAACCAAGATACTGAGGTCACCATCTGTGCCTACTAGGAAGCTGAATCAGAAATGGAGGTGAGACTGGATCCTATGCACTGTGTGCTTGGGTACAGGCATCCCAAGCGATGGTTTAACCCGCTGTGCCACAATTCCCACTCCCATAATTTCTGTCTACCTCTCTACAGGAGGATCAAGGCTTTTTTCCACTTAAAAATGTTTTTGACTGATTTGCAATCATTCTTTATGTTCTTAGTGCTAAGTCCTTTTTCAGTTGTGTACATATCAAGTATTTTTTATTGTTTGAATGGTCTCAATAATAAGAATATTCAAGACTCATTTCTTTTTTTTTTAATTCAATTTTTGATTTTATGTAGAGAGAAGGAGAGACAGAAAGAGAGGTCTTTCATCAGCTGGCTCACTCCCTAAATGGTGGCAATGACCAGAGTTGAGCCAATATGAAGCCAGGAGACTGTTTTATACTAATTTTGATGAGGCACAATGTATCCTTTCTAAACAATGTATGCATGTCTTACAAGAGCCTTCACTATTCTATGGTATGAAAATATTCATCTTTATTTTCCTTAAGATTTAATGCTTTAAAATTTTTATTTACATCCTTAATCCCTCTTGACATAATTTTTGAATACCTTATGAAGGACATGTCAAGGAGAAATTGTTTTCTGTCTAAATGTGCAGTTATCCAAGTATCATTTGATAAAAACACATTTGCTCTCCTCACGATGTTGTTGAAAAAGCCGTTGGTTGGGCCCAGCACAGTGGCATAGTGGTTAAGGTCCTTGCCTTGCACGCACTGGGATCTCATATGGGCGCTAGTTCTAATCCGGGCAGCCCTGCTTCCCTTCCAGCTCCCTGCTTGTGGCCTGGGAAAGCAGTCGAGGGCGGCCCAAAGCTCTGGGACCCTGCACCCGTGTGGGAGACCTGGAGGAGTCTCCTGGCTTCGGATTGGCTCAGCACCAGCCATTGTGCTCACTTGGGGAGTGAATCATTGGATGGAAGATCTTTCTGTCTCTCCTCCTCTCTGTATTTCCGCCTTTCGAATAAAAATAAAATAAATCTTAAAAAAAAGAAAAAGCCATGGCTTCTCATGTCTGCATCTACTTCTGGACTCCTCCTCCTGTTCCACTTAAAATTATTGCTTGTCCTGTGCCAAGACCACAGGATTTTAGCTTCCCATCTAATTTATGATCATTCTTGAAATGAAATAAGGTTAAGTTACCATACTTGTGTGTATGTATGTGTGTGTGAGTTTGACTTTCAAATTAATAAATAAAATTAAAAAAAATTTTAATATGAAAAA